AATTCTAGATAGAAAATTTTATAAAGGAATTCATGTGAAAAAGGACAAGGTACAACCGAATGTCAAAATTGCACAAGTAAAAAAGTTATTAAAGGTTGAATAAACTCCTCTACAAACTTTGCTAAACATATTAAAGTATAATATACATTTTTATTTTATAATTATTAACATAATAATACCTATACATAAGTCCCTCTTAGATAATTGTTATTAAAAATTTTTATAGAAGATGGATGGTTGATTATCAACTTAAAATCATTTTTGGATATATACCGATACCACTTTTTAGAGGTCGATTTGATCCGATATTCCCGATATTAAATTTATATCGTCCGATTACCGATCCGATATAATATATAATTTTGTATTCTGTAAAGATACCAATGGTTTTAATTTTTAATATACTTTTTATTAGTATAACATCTATAATTTAACTATACCATAACTTATGTCATTTAAATATATTATAATGATCAGTTATAGTTTATATTCAATTCGATTGCAATTCAAAAGTATATTAAATATTTTTATTGTTAAATCACTTTTATATAATAAGTAATAACATTAATCTATATACATATTAAGTAATAAACAATTATATTATGAAATTTGGAATAAATATTTAAAATAATATTTAACATTAATATAGCGAAGATTTCTTTTTAGAAATACCAATATTTCCAATTTATCAGAGGTCAGCTTGCGGCGATAGTAACTGTCAATATCACCAGCTTCACTAAAAACAGATTCTGAAGAGATTATTGCACACTTTTATAACAGAATGCGCAAAAAAATAACAATATGAATGTTTATTAATTAATTATTATTATTAAAAAAATATACATAAAAATGGATTCCGATTTTATTTATAAAAATAAATGATTTCAGATATAACTATTTTTTTTAATTTTATAACATTTTAATTTTGTTAAAGAAGCCATTTTTATAACGGATCAAATTTTATAATATTGACCGATAACCGATATTTTAAAATGGGTAAAATATCGGCCCGATGCGATCCGATAAAAAATATCGACACATCCCTAATATATTTTATATTTAATTATTTTAGAAAGTTCTTATTAGAGGAAATATTTAAGCTACAATTAATATATAATATTAGATAATTTTAAAAGGCTCTTAATAAAATAATTATAATAAGGTAGAATTTAACTTTATTAGTTTATTTATGATATAAGTAAAATTAAATTACAGTATTTATTTACAAAATTTAATCAATTTAAAATGCATTAAAGAAAATTGCTATGTAATTAACAATTAAATAATATAATGTTGTACATTATTTTCATATTTTTTATATATAATTAATGATTTTGCAAGAAATTTATAAAAAAAAATTTGAAAAGAGATTTAAATGATATTTATATATATATATAATATTACAAATGCAAGAATTAATAAGTCAAATTAGAAAATATATCTAATTTAAAAAATACATAAATATCACAAACAAGTTATCTAGAATATATTATTTTTTTTAGAGATGCCATTTAGCCATATACTCCGAATATGATTTATATTTAAAACAACAGAAAATAACCTGCAAATTTTAATTAACCATTTGATTTAATTTTTTTTCTTATTTGCACATTTTCCATTAAATATACTACTCTCCCTTCCCTGTTTATACTATTAATGGGCAAAAATTAATATTAAAATCTCTGATTATTATAAAAAAAATTTTGTGAATACGAATGATTTTATTAAATTTCTTTTTACATAAAACCTAGTCATCAATAAATATTTTATTAATTATTGCAAATATTCATTTTTATATGTGTATGCTATGTTCTTCACAAATAAATAATAAAAACTGTATTTTATAAACTATTCTAATTCAATTGGTAATAATAATTTAAAAGTATCTGATACTCTAATTTAGTAAAAGATACAAGTATCTTTTATCTTGTATATTTTTACTATTTTGAAAAAGATACTAGTATCTGTATCTAAGATTCATTTTTTTATAAAGAATCTGTATCTGTATCTAGATTCTTTTTCCAGAGGACCTGCCTAACTCTGGGTATGACTATGAGTTTGCTGATAGAATGTCTAACCCTTTTAAATTACATATAAAAATATAGCAGAAAATTATCCAGAAATAGGTTTTATTAGACAAATAGTAACTATGATTGTTTGCAATATATAAATTTGATCAATGTTTAGCAATATTATTGTATTAGGTCTATAAAAAGTAAATAATTTTTTACTCCAATATATTGTGCCCATTTTATCCAAAAAATTTAATAGATTACCCCAAATAAATTTATTCCATCTCTATCCTACCCTCATTAAATTCCTTATATCGGAAGTAAACAGCACCTACCCATCCCCCCGCTTATTTAGGAGCTATATGGAGAAACAAATGCTGTGTATACATTTTTACCCCATCTAATAATAATTACGATCCATTAAGTTTAGCGGAAAAAAGAAAATCCCAAAAATATTCACAACAACAATATATTTATACCCATTAAACTATCAACAAACTGCTCATTTGAGGAAGATGCTAGATCCTTAAACAAACTAATTAGCCAAAATAAAGCAACAATCTCGAGAACCCTTTTGATCCATCAAAAAATCAGCCTTTAAATTTTACGTTGCAAATTAAATTACTTAAAGATTCATGGCCGTCACCAGAGAAGAATTACAATTTTTAATTTTTTCAATAAAAATATTGTTAAATATGGATTTTAAGTTTTATTTCTATACAATGTCATTTTTTATATATATAGTTTAGATGTTATTTTAAATTACTTTACATAATATCGATTATTAGATTATTTTTAAAAAAATATTTTAATATTTATTATTAGATTTATTTGAATTTTTTTATTGTTAATTAACTGAGTTTAACCCTTATTTTGAAATATTCTAAATCGCAACCCGAACCCATCTGAGTCCATATTTCAAACTCTTTTTTATTGTTCTTAAGTTAAAAATCAAAATATCATTTTCTTACAATTAGAAAAAAAAGGAAATTAAATTCAACTTCATTAAACATTTGGTAAGAGTCGGTTGGTAAAATTTTTCTTTTATTAGTTAAAAATATGTATAAATGATAAATTTTTAAGATAATTCTATTACAAATCGAAAATGTCCTTTAGTGTTTTTGAAGCGGACCACCTGGATAATAATTTTTAGAAACATAGAGTTATGTGACATTATACATTCCACTTTAAAATATATATTGATCCTCTTTACTTTAGACTATAAAAAACATGATTTTTTTTTACACGTGTGATCTTTGAATTTTTGGTAAGACATCAATACTGCGGAACAATAAAGAATATTTTGAAAAAATCGGTTTAAATTTGTATATTAAAGGTTTTTATGATCAATATTTATAAGTTTAATGTTTATATAATTTAATTAGCAGTTTTTTTTAATGATTTAGGTCTGGCTAATGGAAATTGCTGCTACTACAACTGTTTAAATTTCTATTCGTCCATTTATAATCATGATCTGTCAGATTTGGCAGGTTATTTGTAAAGATGATTAAATCTTATTATGACCTATTTTTAATATATCTTAAACCAAATCATATCTCAAACCTTAAATTAACCCTAACCAATATCTATCTAAACTTTAATCCTACTCTTTATTTCCGATACTTGTTTTTTTTCCAATGGAACATTCCTTGAGTGGAGCTATTATCTTACTAATTTAATACTCTTTATCGGCCCAAATATCCAATATTTGAACTACCAGGAATGACTTTTTAGATCCGATAATAAGACCTGGAATGATCTCATAGAAGCGATGCCAATTTTTTGTTTGTAACTATTCTTATATAGATCCATTAGCCCTATCTAACCAAACAGCAATCATAGCTCAAAAATTTCCAAATATTCGGAAATTTCAGAAGTTCATATTTTTGTTCCTATAATATCAACAACCTTAAATTCCTTCGAAGCTTGCATTAAATCTTCTATAAAGATTTATCGGCAGAGATCTACTCATTATATTCCAACACCATTTGTTTAGGATTAAGCTTAGCGGGGATCGGCTAGGTTTTTTTTTATTGCCACTTAAAGTTATATAAATAACATTTAGCAAAATTAATTAACATTTTTTCCATCTTATGCGATCTATATATATAATATATATCTAAAAAAAATTATTTTGACAAGACAAGGTTAGTCTTTCACTTATTTTGATTCAAAGTTTAATATTGTTTGTAACGATTAATTTAGTATAATTAATACAAAAAAAATTATAAATATAAGTTTTCCTTTTTTTTAACAGTATATTTTTTTTATCGTTAAAAAGAATGTATATTTAGATAAAAGAAAACGTGTTAGATGGAAATATCTGCTAATAAATATCCAGCAAATAATTTAAAAAAATTTTTTATTTTGAATGTATTTCTTTTCTAAAAAATTAGTTAATATTATTCAATTTTCTATTATATTACATTAATAATATGTAAATAAGAATTAATATAATAATCCTCCTAAGAGAATATAACTATAAAGATGATATTTTTTATAAAATTAAAAACGATGAAAGAAAATGCTAGATTACACCAACTAAATATTAGATTAATTTATATCTTTTTAAAGAAAACTTGTATAAAAATTTTTTTAAAAATAATTTTAAAACATAAATTAAATATTTTTATATTTTTTTAAACAATATTTAATTAAAATCAAAGAGATTAAGTTTCTCCTATAAAATAAATATTATAGAGAAAACATTAAAAAGATTGCAAATTTTTTTTAACCATCTCTGAATTTTTTTTTATATTGCTATAAATGTAAAGGATTACTGTAATACAGTAAAGTAATAAATATAAATTATAATGTATATATTTATATATATAAATATAGCCAATAAAAGGCTTTATCAATCAACTTGAATACCAATTAATTTCCAAAAAAAAATTTATTTTTTTAAATGCTAGAATGAGTATTAATTTATTATCTACTTCATTTTTCGTTATTTTACTTTTAATTAATTTTAAAAAAAATTCTGGTCTAAGATTACAGTCATTTATTCAATACAAATTTGATTAAAATCAAGAAATTTATTTAATAAACACAATTTATTATTTGATGAATCTTATATATTCTATGTTCAATAGGGAGAACAGTAATCGAAAAGGAAAATTTGGAGGTAATTTTTTTTTGTATTAAGCCTCATTTGGGTTTATGTTCAGGAGAGTAAAATAAAATTTTATTGCTCGAATGTTCTAAAGGATCTCCATCTCCCTAGAATATGTCACTATACTTAGTAATCAGTTTACTAAGGAGGGATGGGGTGGGAATTGCGGGGAGGAGTAAGGGTAACATTTTTTTGTTAGATAAAAAGGATTTTGTCAAGTGAGTAAATTTATTTTCGGGCCTCCCATTGGCTAGGCCGGGTAATGGGCATCGCTTTGAAAAATATATTCATATTTTCATTGGCGTTTAAAAACCCGATTATTTTATTTATTATATTTGATCCCACAAATCGTGGAATCTTAATTTTAAAAAATGTATAATTAAAACTCTTTAATCTACTTTTATAATTATGCTTTTGATATTTTATTCCTTTGCAAAAAAATATTTAAATATTTTTCATTTCTTTTGATGCTAATATAACCACTGTTTTTACCAATACACTTTATTTTAGCGGTCTCTCTTTCAAATTTTAATCAAATTAAATATAAAAAAATTCCTTTAATTAATATTTCATTCTTTAAATAAATTTTTTAAAAAACAATTAAAAACTTGGTTAGGTTGATTCCAACTTCATTTATGATCTAAATTAAATTAATTGAATCAGAATCTAAATCCTTATAAGATGTCAAGGATTTATTTTTTCGGTAAGCAATAATGTACTGTCCCAAGTTTACAAAAAATCAACTCAAGAGGTATGCTATTTTTTTGTTGTTGAAAAGGCAAAGGAGAAGAAACATGTTCTCCGGAATACGTACAAGCCATCCCACCCAATCTTAATAGCATTTGTTCAAAGACCAAATTCGAAAGGAAAGAGATAAAGCTGCTTTATCAAATCTTTAAACAAGTTAATATATATACTATTTGTATTTTTTTTCCCCATTAGATAATTAGTGGGGTTATACAATTTGGTGATAAACACTTAAAATATAAATTAATTTTAAAAAATGTTCCCCCTATACTTTTCAATACATCATATTAGGAATAAATTTGTTACATTTGTTTGCACGATTCCTTTTTAGGCTGATAAGCAAATGAATAATTTCTATATTACATACAATTTGCATAAATTAGGATAATGCGCATATTATTGCTAGTATATAAATCAAAAATGATTAAAAGATTTATGACCTCGGAAATTTATAGAATTGATATTCTACACATACTTGAATACATTTTAGGGCAAAAAATTAGATCATTAATTTGGCACGTTGATTAAGGTTCAGAACAGCATTGATTTGATCACGTGATTTGACTTTATCACATTTAATGTTGTTAAACCGCTCATTTTGAGCCGATTTTTAAAAATGGCTAACTCAATATTTTAGCCAGAAAAATATTGCCTAAGCCTCTAGATTTCGCTAATAGATATCCAAACCTTTGTTCCTTCTACAGACAAAATCTTTTTCTTTCTTTCTTTTTTAAGAAAGAAAGAAATTGCGTAATATTATTCTGGGTGAAATATTGAGTTAGCCGTTTTTAAAAATCGGTTCAAAACGAGCCGTTTAACAACACTTATCACATTATACATTATAAAGGGAATAAAGGAATTTTCTTTTCGTAATTTTTTTTCCCCTCTACAATTATAATTATAATAATAAAAATAAAATATTATTTATAGCACTGCCCTCAAGGATTTTTAACCTTGAATATATTCAAGAGCATATTCGAAATTCTTTTCCCTCTAGGAAGTAAAAGGCCATTATAATTTAATATTATTTATCCCTAAATATTTTTTTAATTACCAATTTTTTAAGATTCTTCAAGATATGCCTCCTATTTTTACAGATGTTTAGATGTCAATAAAGATGGCATGGTGGGATTCGAAGTTTAATTTTTTAAAATATTTATATCTTCCGTGATTTTTGACAAATTTTTTTTAATGACCGAATGGCTTTTAATCAAAATTCAGAGGCAGATATTCTAGACTTAAAATAGAAATAAACGAGATATTACTTTTATTCTTGATATTCTGATATTAACGATATTAGGAAAATTATTAAAAATAGGGAAGAAATTTGCAACTCCTTCCATTGTGCATCATTTAATATATTTGTTCTTTTAATAGTAACAGATACCTAAATTTGTCCAGGATTAAACTGTATATATGATTAATAGAGTTATTAAATTAAATTTTACATATTTTGGAATATAAAAGTAACCCAAATTTTTTTAAAATTACTTGTGTCACTCACATTAATCGCTTCTGTTTCATTTAGTTTAAGGAAGCTTATTTATGGAGAAAAACTAGCATGGCTTTATAAAACAAATTTTGAAAATAGTTTCTTGTTAAAATCATATAAAAATTTATTAAGGCCAATTTTTTTGCAAAAGATCAACATGCAAATAATAAATTTCCTTTAAATATATATTTACAGAAAAAAAAAATATAATTTCACAGACATTATATTGAAAATTTTGGCTAAATTATAAATATTTGATTTGGTGACACTTTATCAAAAGGGCATATATCACTCGACAATTTATTAAGTAATGCTTTATCACAACATCACTAAATCATGTGATAAAGTGTCCCGTAGTAAAATGTCGCGTTATCAAACTGAGGGATAAAGTATCGTTATGATAAAGCGTTGTTGTGATAAAGTATCGTCGTAAAAAATTGTCGCATGACAAAGTATCGAATGACATAGTGTCGCTAGGCGATAATATTTATAGCAATTTTTTTTAGTAGATTTTATATTTATTTATATCATAATTTAATATTCCTCATTTTTTAACTTTTCTAAATTTTTTTATTTCTATTAGTAACTTTTTATAAAAAAATACCCCCCCCCCCTCCTTTGTCGCTAGAATATAAATATATTTTTTTTAAAAAAACAGACTTTTATAAGCACTCTATCGAAAATGAATTACGGAACTTTCGAAGAACGGGCTACCATTATATTCAAGATTTACGATTTAAAAGACGAAGGCTTTTTAACCAAGGAATCACTTTTCAATATTATCTCATCGGTGTACGACCTAGCTAATTTAACAAATGATCCATATTACACTTATTCCAATGCGCAGCAGCACAGTGAAAGATTTTTCAGGGTATTATTTTATAAAATGGGTATTCTAAATAATTCAGATTTGATTATCAATATAATATAGAAACAGATTTATAGTAAACACGTTATTTTCAATCGTTGCGGTATTATAGCTGATTCAGTTTTAGAAACTAATTTAATATAAAGCTAAAAAAAAAAGAAACAATTATTTTATATAATATTTAAGAAAAATCATATACTTTATCGAATTTTATTTTTAACGCACCGATACATACGTTTCCAAATTTTATCATATTATTATCATCAATAACGCTCCATATTTATAACTTTATACCTATTTATAATTTTGCGATAACGCTGGTAAAATAACGCAACGCTTGAACAAAACCACTTACTATAAATGGCCTTAGATATTCCAGATCTCGAATCCCTAGCTTTATTCAATTTTTTTTTTAAATATTTTTTATGTATTCCGAACCGGAAATTTTAATTTCTTACGAATTTTTTATTATCGTCTGCCTGGCAGGAAAAAAATCCTTACCTGTTTTCAAGTAAATATGATCATAATGGATTAAAGAAATCATGATTTTAATTAGCCCTCGTGACTCGAAAAGTTTTTTGAAAGAGTTATATTTAATAGAGTTCCTATTATTCTTGTTAAAGACTGGTAAGTGAAACCTCAAAAGGGGAATTAAAATAAGGATTATTATCATTTTTATAGTATCCTCTAAAACAAATTATCTGTCCTTTGGGTCGTTTTTCTGCCACTTCCTTGGGGCACACTATAAAGGGCCTAAACATTTTTTAGGGACAAATCTTTAAGAATGGACTGGTCTGGAAGATTTTTATTTTCAATGACAATATCGATATTATACGTTAAATTTTTTATGACCATTTTTTTCTTCTCTCTCATCCAAAGTTGTGGTAACGAATAGAGCTTAAAAGAAAATAAATTTTTGATATTTTTAGTTATTGCTTTCAATAGGGAAAAGTTTTGAATTTTGCGAACAAGAGTCCCAAGTTCAAAGTTCTCATTGGTCTGTAATTAGCCGGGAGTTTTAACCCGAATACCCACTAGCACATTGTTTCAAAAAAAAATTAAGGTTCGCCCGTTTATCCCAAAATTTTGATACCCACCATCAACAATATTTACAAACTTCAATGTGCTTACTCAGCAGCCAACAACCGCCCCAATTTTTTGCCCCATGTATATTTTAAAAAACGCGAGTTGCTTCAAGGTAATGACACCCTACCCTGCGCTCATTTCAATTGAAATCCATTGTGGGATATAAAAACATCTCCAGGGATCATCAGGAATTAAGCTCAGTTTTTGGGTAAGTAAACAGGTTTTAGACGAGAGGCGAGATTGCTTTTCAGATTCAAATTTGAAAAATTTGCCACTTTTAATGGTAAATGAAAGAATTATAAAATTTTTGAATACATCATTTTCTTTGAATATAATATATAGATTAAAAAATAATATTATTTTGTTTTGTGTTATATACTTTATATTTATAAAAATTAAAAATTAAAGGAAGAGCTAAGAATAGGAACTATTTTTTTTAAATTTTGAGCAGGAGCTAGTTCCTCTTAAGAATACGTAGCCGACAATGTATTTTTTTTAAAATCCCAATTAGACAATAAATTTTCAATTATTAAATATTATATTTTTTCATAAATTTTAATTTGATTTAAATGAATTCCATCTTTACTTAATGAATATATATATAATTTTTGAATAAAAAATTTAATCTAGAAATTGAAAATGGACCAAAACGGTAAAGTAGCTATGAAAGAATTTACGGGCATGTTAATAAGGGTAAAATATAATTGATAATATTAATTAGGATGACATCTCGTCTTAATTTATGTGATTCAAGGGAAAAATCTAATCTAATATGTTAGGCGCATCTTTATTAGCGATGCATTTGTCAATCAAAATTCATAGTATTCGAGGTTAAATTTAGAACACTGTCATTCTATTTACTTTTCTGGGCGTGTTGTACAAATTATCAAATCAGTTTTTTAGGACGAAAGCAACATAATTTTTTTTCTTAATTTTTTATTTATAATTACTTTTAAAAAAATTTTCCTTTTAAATTGATTAAACTCGATTATATAAATGTACCATTATTATCGCGCATATTGATAAAAACTTTATTTTGAGTAATAAAACATTAAAACTTTGTGATCAATTTAAAAAAAAATTAGGGGAGACCAGGGAGAGTAGCCCGGGCAGCTAATTTTTTCTCAAATAATTTTAAAATTAATAAACTTTTGATATGAAATTTAAACTATGAATGTTTAATAAGATGCTTCAATGATTCTTAAAAATGTTTTGCAGAAATATGCTAATGAAAAGTTTTAAATGGAAATTTAACTTCAAAAAATAACTTTCTGATTTTTTATATTTTTTAATAATAAATTTTTTTATGAATGTTAATCAAACTAAATATCAATTCTTAAATGATAAAGTAATCTCTATTACGTATAAAAATATTGACAATATTTATGGTAATTTAATATCTTGAAATTAAATCTTAACTAAATTTGGGGAAGGTTTTGACGGGGTACGTATTAGTCATTTTTAGGCAGGGATTTATATTTTAAAAAAATTTAACTATATCTGTAAGAACACTTGAAACCACAAGTTTAGGGCTACTAAAGATAATATGAAGATGGTTGACTTATTTTTTTATAAATTATGTGACAGTTTTAAGTGACAATAAATCCTTTAGGGTGATATATGTAATATGGGTGGACTTGGTGCATTTAACATTTTTGACAATGCTTTTTCATTTATCTCAGGATTAACATTTTTTATATAAATTATTCGAAGGCTAATAGGTACCCCGAGTTTTTTCATTTTTTTTTAAATTATCGTTTTTTAGTTTAATATTAAAGAAAAATTTTAAAAAAAATTAATTTACCGTAAAGATATATGTAAAGAATAAAACTAAGTTTAAATATTTTGGAAAATTATCTTCATAACTTCAATATTTTGGACAAGATAACCCTGGTCTCCCCTAATCGTTTTTATAAAAAACACAACTCTATACCCTTCTGTTCAATTATATAAATATTTACTTATTATTTACTTTTTTTCTTGAGAATTTCAAATTAATATATTTTTCGATTTTTTTTTAAAAAAATAGGAGGAATGTTTGGAGAAGTCCCATACTAATTTTCCGATAGTATCTGCTAATATTTAAAAATTAAATGATTTTAAAAGATGTATAGTATTTTATTATATTGTTATAATAAAAAAATCATTTTCAAATTTTGCGGTTTTATAAAATTATTAACATTATAGGTATTTGGAATACATTTAATGAAAATTTTAATATGAATCACACCAACCATAATGGAAATATCCATCATAGAAGTTAGGATTTCCTGCCAGATTTTCTCTTATACGTGTAGGACTTTTGTAAGATTCTCGATACATCACTAGTAAATCTAGCATTTTATAGAAGACTTTATCTTTTGTGTCTATATTATTTTTTTCGTAAGGATCCCCTAGATATAAAATATATTTAATTAAATTTATTTATTTATATTTTGACCTCATAAGCTAATTCAAACAGGGAATATTTCTCTGCAAGGTTGTCAATTATACTCATAATTTATTTAAATAAAAAATCTAAAACACTTAGAAAATTATATTTATATTAGCTTATATCCTTTAAGTGAATGATGATTTGATCTCACAAAATGCTTTTTGTCGGAGGAACAAACTCTGGGCTATTTGAAGTTAAAGTATTGCGGTATGAGATAGAATCCTCGTTAAAGATTTTTAAAAAAGAGCACAGAAAGGCGTACACTGTAAAAAAAAGAAGCTTAAAAAATTTATAGTTCTGGCGTTAAGGGTTTACTTACTTGCTTAAAACAATAGGAAAGGTGAGAATGAGTAAGGGTTAGATAGGAGAGAAAATATAACTATAATGTATTGTAACTGTTAAGTATGAAAAAAGTTATAAAAGTGAACTAAAGGAGAGTATATATCTTTTACGTGAAAGGAACAAGAGTGAATAACAATGGTGTAAAAATGGTTAAGGGACAATATTTTAAGGTGCTGAAAGGTAATGCTAGAAATTTTATTAAATAAGATGGAATAGGATAAGTAAGTTTTTATTTGCCAAAATTTTTACGAAAACAAATGGAGATAACACGCTTTAATCCCCCCCCCCCAACACACAAAAATATATTTTTATTACTTCTTAAAAATAGAAGAAAAAAAATGGAAATCCGAATAAAAACTATTCTGAGCCACTACTTCCTTATCTAACTCTAATTTTATTTAAATGACACGGTGTTATCTTAAGCAACCACTTACCCCCTATAATTTTAATATAGATGCGTTATACCTCCTATTCGATAAAACAGTCCCTAATCCCTACATACCCTGTAATTATTTTCAATGTGCCCTGTTTTCTTTTATTTAAAAATTTCAAATATTTTAAAAATAATTTAAATTAAATAATAGAGAAGTCCGAGAAGTCAGCTAGCCTAAGTAGAGTTATTCACAAACGCTTTTCATTAAAATAAAAGATTTTATGAGGATTTTTTCAAAATTTTGTATGTGCTTAGGTCTCTCTTACTGATATGAGTAGAAATAGATTTGAAATATACATTCAAAACGAAAGGCAAATAAACTTTAGATGAAGAAATATATTAAGCTGGAGGTTAGAGGAATGAAACCACGAAAGGTCCAAAAGCCTTAATTTAAGATTTTTCTCAAGATAATTTAAGTTGGAGGAATCGGATATGGAGACACACTGCCTTAGCCAGATGATTCTAAACAAATGCCATAAGAATTGGTTTTTGCTGCTGTATCTAGAAGGGAGAGCTCGAAATTAATACAAAAGTTATTTATTTGGGCATTCTTATTTTAAAATGAGATGTCTTATTCATCCAATTATTTTAATTCTTAGTTTTTAAAATTTTCGATTTAGCTTAAAAAAATCTAAAATTATAAGAAAACGGACATTTCAATAAACCATCAGATCATACATAACATTTAATATTATATTATTGGTCAGGTTTTAAAAATATTACTCATGATGTTGAAATACCAAATATCATTTCTATCTATTTTCAATTTTTCAATATAATTTTCGAATTTTGGGTCCAGAATCTCATTTATACCCGAATTATTTAAAGTTTGTCCGGAACCTAGAAAATATGATATGATATTAAAAAAATATTATACCTCCTGAATACATTCCATCATTTATATTAACCTTCTTATTATCAGGTTTATACCAATCATCCATTTCTCCAGCCATACCCAAGAGTAGTTTAAAATTTCCGAATCTTTCAAATATACAATATATCAAAATATTTAATATTATGTAAACCTGATCCCGGCGAAAATTTTTTTTTTTATTATCATATTGATCAAAAAATTATTTCTAGGTGATGGAGCACTTGCATTGATTATACCCTTCCATTGACTAATGCCATCTATATTTAAGGATGTATTTATTTTGGGGTTAGATTTGGATTGAGATAAGCCACCTCCAGCTAATTCTATAAACGTAGGGTACCAATCAACCGCATGAAACAATCTATTGTATGTTTATATAAAAATATGGCTGATAACAAAATGGCCATTTTAAAATACTTTATTAAAAATTGTAAAAATGTTTCACTAAACTAACCTAAAAAAATAGGTTTTAGAACAATAAAATCTTCGAGGTTTAAAAATTATTTTGAATTGAATAATCAACAAAAATTGAATTTAAATTTTATTTCAACAAAAAAAAATGAATTTCTTACAATTTATATTGCGTTCCTCATGAAATTTACAAACCTCATACTTACATATCCCCTTCGCAAGTTTAAGAATTTGGCATGAATAAAACCAGGAGCTCGTATCCCACCTTCCCATATTGTACCTTTGTTACCTCTTAGAGGATAATTGTTACCACCGTGTAAAACCTGACCACCATTCTTAATGCGTGAAAAAAAATATTTAAATTAATTTTATAAACACGAAAACATTTAATTTCTTTAACTATATTTTGAAAATTTAACAACATGCATGATATTTGTGTATTGTATATATGATTTCAAGATGGGCATCAATTTCAACATCAGGGTTTGTTTCTACTCCCTCTTAAATCAAAGTAGTGCTTTTAAAGAGCTTGATTAAAGCTGATTTTTAAAAACGGCTAACTCAATATTTTGGCAAGAAAAATTATCGCCTAGGCATCGAGATTACGAGATTTGTTAATAAATGTTCAAATTATTTGTATGGCGATGACATGGTTGTAAAACATCGACTCTAAGATACAAATTTATTGTTAAGTAACTTTTTTGCAGCGTAAACAGCCCACCAAATTAGCCTTCTTAAAAAGCCGATCAAAAACTATCTGTAGATCTAGGAAAGCTTTATAAAGTTTCTTGAGTTGGTCCCCAATTGTTTAATCCGTTGATGGGATCAATCTTCGATCTTCCAGATATGATGAAACTTATTTTCTGCAATTTCGACACTATTTCTTAACTTTCCTATAGTTTTTTTTACACAATCTTAATGTGTCATTAGTTTTATACATATAAAATTTGATGGAATACATGTGTATACCACCTTTACTGTTAAATATAGGAATCAGATATCTCTACCTCCATTATTGAGAAATTTCCTTCCTGTTTAGCATTTTATTGTAGAGGTGATAAATCTTATTCATTTTCTTGATTTTTAATCTATATATTTACTTATCTAATATCATTAAACTCTATAAAAGTATAAATTGCCTATTTATAAATTCCGACGATGTGCAATTTTGTTCTATTAGGTATTTTGTCATAATTTAAAACTTTTTAAATTTTAGGTCTAGAAGGAAAGCCATTACCTAGATAACATTTGAAATAAAAAATAAATTTAGTAAATTAAAATACTAATTTTTCGCAGATCGCAAACAGGAATTTGTAAGGCAAAATTATTTAGCATATTTTTATTAAATGAAGTTATAATTAATATTACTATTAAATGTGTTTCTATTTTACTTCCAAAAAATAATGCCAAATTCAATATAGGCCCGTTTAAAGATAGAAATTCAACTGTTTCTCTAAATTTCGAAAGAAAAATTGTAATTCCTCTACGAGTTCTAATTCCTTTGAGATAATACTTTTCAAATTTATTCCAAAATATTATCAATTAGATTTTTATTAGCTCCAGATATGGTTCCCGAGCATAATTAGTATATTGTGTCATCTTGTGGTTAACATTTATTTTGATGTTCTCATTTGAGTGACATTATGCTAGAATAAATTGGAAATGAAATGACTGATTTATGTAATATATTGTTCATTTTTTAATATACAATTAACCCTTTTAGCTGCCTAGAGCTAACTTTAAAATAAAATTCGGAAATTTTAATGGAAAGTCAACTCCAAACCTCCAAATCTCCCTCTTCTCATTACAGCAACCCTTTAACTATATTGAGGTGAGGTGATATATTTTACGAAGTGAAATATAATAACAAAATTATTACATCAGATGTGAAAATGAGGTGAGGTGATATATTTTACGAAGTTAAATATAATAAAAAAATTGTTACATCAGATGTGAAAACTATCAAAGTATCATTATAAAGCCCTCTTCTTTTTAAGGCCAACACGATTTTGCCAACAGCCAAATCAATTTGTTCTACCATACCTATAAGTTTTAAAAAAAAAATTTTTGTAAGTTCTACTTTTACAAATAAAAATTTAGTTACTTTTTTGTTATGATAAATGATGTTGAGTAATAAAATAATTAAGAAAAAATAGTCCATTTCAGCCTGACCATTAATCTTATTATAAATTTTTTAAAAATAGTTTATAGAGTTGAATCCAGTAAGTCGACCCGAAGCCCTAGATATTTTTTTAAAAATTGGGCAGGGTGTAGCCACAAGCGTAAAAACTGATTTCTTTATTAAAATAAAGTCTAATTAGATTTTCCCCGGGATTAGAAAAAAGTCATTATATTTATTTTGATTTTATTTAACTTTATTTTTAAAAAAATGCTCATTTTTTAATGACCAGATCTGGCTCTTACTAATTTTATATAGAGCGGAACGGACCAGTAAAGCGCGGGCATAAACTCAGGCGGGGTTCTATTATAAAATTAAACCTTACTCTTCTCTTGATTTGTTATGATGTGGAGCAAACATTTAACTAAGATTCCTAACCTTCCATAATCTTTAGATCACAGAGAAGTAATCTAGAATATAATTTTAAAAACTATAAAATTAATAATGACCAAGTCATTAAAACCTCAGATATTAATTTAATAAGAAATTCAAACACATATTATTTATCAAATTACCACAAAATAGTCTCCGATTTTTATTAGTAATATTTTGACATCCAGATACAGGACTCCCTTTTGGTACCTGTTTACATAAATAAATATGTATTAGCAAATTATGATACAACCAAAAGAGGTTTATTTTGAAAAAGTATTTAGCCAAGGTTATTAAAATAAAATTAGACGACATTTTATATGACTACACCAGCTATTCGTGTTGGTTATAGTAAACTTAGTCGTTTCTTCATTACCTATTATCTTAAAAGACCCTTTAAAGTTATGGCAAATGGCTCTTGCATATCACCTGTTCATGTAGACAATCCAACTCAATTTAGAATTCACATTATTTTTAAAGTATCATATAAGCGGACGGAATAGGAACACTATCAAAAAATTGATTGTGGAACATTCAGATGGTTTGAAAAATAATTGATATAGATAAATTTTTAAAAACAAGTGTATCAGATTATTTCAGCAAATTTTATCGTCTTACAAAACTTTTATCGCGAATGTCGTTTGTCGTTAATAAATTTTATAGCGAGGGTAATAACCAATTCCGCGAATATTTTTCTGCAAAACATTTATAGCAAAGACAATATCATTATCGCGAATTTATTTCTGCAAACCCTTAATAGTGAATACTTTAGAGCGAATATATTTTAACAAAACTTATCGCGAACCCTTTATAGCGATCTACCGCGAATGTATTTGCGCCAAGTCATTATCGTGAGCACATTACATCAAAAACAAGACTTGATTCTTTAAAAAACAGTACACACGTACAGATTATTTTCTGATAAAGAGAAGAAAGAATATTTTACTTATAATATATTATATTTTGCATAATTCTATTTATATTTTATATTTAGGGGAAAAATTATAATTTGAAAGAAAGAACTTAACGAGTATTTTGAACCTCTCTATAATATTTTCGCGAAATAGTTTTCGCTATGATTGTCTTCGCTATAAGGACTTCGCTATAAAACTTTCTTGATTATTGATTCGAGATAGAAGTTTCATTATAATGTATTAACTTTAAAGGTTTCGCGATAAGGATTTCGCTATAAAAAAATGGCCATATTTGTTTCGTGGTATTGCTTTCGTGGAATAGTATTCGTTAATGTGGTTCGCTATGTTTCGCTATAAAATCCATTCGTGATAAACGAAATTCGCAATAAAAGTTTTACTAAAATTTGTTTAGCGATAATTTCGCTGAATTGACATGGTAGTTTATAGTTAAAAAAAAATGCTTTAAAAATATCTAAATTTTATATTATAAAACATAATTTTGTTATTAATTATAACATAAAATAATAAATAATAATCTGTTTTCTTTATTCTTATATTGTTTGATAATTTTTTGCTAATGTACAAATATTTTAATTATTATGCATAAAGTGTGAAGGAATTAGTACAGAATTAGGAATATCAGAAGTATCTTTATTAAATCAAACAATGGTAAAATTCCAATAACACAATTTTGATGTTAAATAATATCATTTATATATAGTATGTTTAATTATTTAACAAGACAAAAATTAATGTCAATTTACAAGATCAACAAGAAAATAAATAAACTTTTACATTTATTTATAATTTAAATATTTGATTTACTGATCTGCCGCAATATACAAACATATATTAAAGATAACATAATTTTATAAAAAAAGGTAATAATATATAGCGTGGGTCATCATGGTAATTTGCTAAAGGAACCATTATATTTAACTGTTCAAAAACCCTGCCTTCAGGCAATGATTTTAGAAATATCTGCATTGTTTAGCACAAATTATTGCTAATAAATAATTAAAACACATTTGCCAAGGGGCAAAATTAGGGAGTATTTAGGAGTAAAGGAGGAGTTCCTTACTGATGAGACCCAGAATATTTGTGACCGCTCTATAGTTTATGGAATGATATCAATCATCTATAATTTACTTTATTAATAAAAAAGGAAGAGTTTTTATAAATCTAATCTAATTTTAGGTGTGTCTAATTAAAATTCTAAGTCATTACAATAATAATATTTTAATCATTCAAAGGTAGTCTTCAATTCCCATTTCATTTGTGTACATTAAATCCATTTTTATTATCATAAATATTAAATATATTTCGTTTGAATCGTAATTAATAGTAATTAACATAATAGGTATAATATTTATTTTTTTTAAAGGATATTTTTTAAAATTATTTATAAGGGACATAAACACATTCCAATCTAATATAATATTATATAAACACCTTCTATTAAAGGGGAGGTGGGACTTCAAGTTCCCAAAAAGTATGTTAATTTCTAAAAAAAGTCAAATTTTTTTTATAATATCTATTAGTATTTATTTATATCTTAACATAAATACAATATAATATTTTAATCTCTGAAGATACTTTCCAAATATTAAGCATATAATCTATAAATTATTAATATTTATTTTGCTTTAGATTCTAAACAATTACCCCTTATAAGTTGAAATAAAGATGTCAGGACAAAGATTTACTTACATTTTTAAATATCGCCTGTCAAGATCATTTAATTATATGCATGATGATTTAAAATAAATGAACAATGGTTGAAAAAAAAAATGATCACATAATCCATATCGTTTAGAGAATATTTTTTTGATTGCTAATGAAGAATTCATCAAAAAAAGTTATATTTAAATTAAGAATTCCTCAGTTCAAAACTTTTGTGAGATATGAATTTATGTTAAATCAAATTCCTACCATTAAATAGGTTCCGCTTTGAAACTATTGCGGAAAATTCCGAAAAACTATGACCATAAGAGCGGAGTTTCTTTAAATTTTAAATAAACCTGTAGGGAACAGTAAATATAAAATAACCGATGCTTTTCGGGTCCTTGGTTTTAAGCCTACTTTAAATTTTTATATTTAATATGATCTTAGATTCCTAATTTATTTTAAAAAGATAATTTCTTAAATAATTTTTCTAAATGGTCATTAATAAATTTCCCAATTAGATATTATTTTTGAACTGATATTGTTTGTTATATTTGGTCCTTTTTTTAAAATAATATAATATTATAATATCGCAGAACAAAATCAAATAACTAAATTATCGATAATTGTAAAGGTTAATAAATTTTCTTGTTGATATGGTAAATTGACATTTTATTACTGTATAAATGTGATATTATTTTAATCAAGGATTATTACTTTCAATTTATATTATTGGAATTTTACGATTGTTTGATTTAATAAAGTTAACTTCAAATATTCTAAATTCTTAGCTAATTCCTACAATTTTTAGTCAACATTGTAACCTGTGGGGGACTATGGGGGTTTTGGAAAGCCAGATATATGAAAAAGGGTTTGTCCTCATCAGTATTGTTTATTATTTCTATAGTTCTTTCGGCATAAAGATCCTTTAATATTTTATTTAAAAATACATAATAATATTTATAAAAAAAATATTTTGAAGTCAATAAATTATTCATATAAAAATTAATTATTTAACTAACTGTCGAATAAACTCCGATGGCCTGCGGATAGGGGTTATAATTGTAATGAAAATCGTATCCTCTAAATTTAGTACCATTCTTCGATACACCAGCTATTAAATTATAAATTCATCATGTTATTCAAACAAAAGAAGTAGAAGAGGATAAAAACATAAATTAAATATACCAAAAGTTAACATTTATATAATTTATTTCTCTGTTTGAACTAATGTATAACTAATATTAATTTTAAAATTACCCATTAATCTTTACAAATATCGGTATTATGTTAAATATTTTATAAAATTTATTTTAAGGTTTATTCTGCAGTATTTTTATACGTAATAATCAGCATTTTTTAGAAAGATATTTTCAAAAATTATAATGAAATTAGAAGTATTTTGTTAATAAAACCAGTATAAAAAAATGGGTAGTATCTTGTTCAATATAAATTTTTCTGTAAATATATCCGTTTTTTCCAGTATTTTAATTGATTTACCATTAAATATTTTTTTTTTCACCAAGATTTTAATAAATTTATCAGTAAATATATATAATTTTTCTCTATTATTTCAAATATATCAGCAATAAGTATGCATTATTAAAATTAATTTACCGATAAAATAAATTGATTATTCTAATAATTAATTATATCAATTATGAGATTTTTATTTTTAATAAATCTTAATCACTATAAAATGTTTAATATTTCAAAATTGATACAAATTTTATTAGCTCTTGATAATATTTTATTGAAGTCAAATTACAATAAGCTTCACTTAATATAAATATCTTAGAAATTAAGCCCTTTATAAATAGATTAAATGAAACATAATTATTAATCTATTATTACTATAAATATATCCGGTAATTGAATTTTAATAATTTGTTTAAAAGTGGGAGGATAATTTAATATATAAATAAATTATCCTAAAAAAAATTACAGTTTATCTAGAAAATAAATTTCTCTAACCTTCTAATCTTTAATCTGGTTAAGGGGTTGACTTTAGAATTTTTTTTACTGTGCCTTGACAGAAACAAATTTCAAATTCTCTGAACATCAACTTAGGATACTCAAACTCAAGGACTAATCTTAATTTAATAATCTTTACTAAATTACTCTGCTCTCGTTTAATTTTTCTATTTTATAAGTTTCAACTTAAGATTCGCTTCTTCTAAAATAAATGATTGATTTACACGTGTTGTGGTAAAAATGATCTTGGCTTCCTAAATAAAATCCGAAAAACGAATCGAACCCTCTTGAAGTTGGAGTAAAATTTTTATTGCAATATCCCAAATGCCATCTACATGTTCATGCGCGTTATGTAAGTTTATATATTTATTAAAACTGATTGGCTATCGAAATATTTCAAATAATAATAAACATTATCATTAATAAAAAAAAATACATTGTAAGAAAAAAGAATATACGTTTAAATAAATTTTATAAACTTTGGATTTTATGAGAATATTTCTTATCTGAAGGCTTACCCTGAATTCACAGTTAGTGCGAATTCGCGACGGAGTATTATAAAAATACAACACAAAAGATATTTTGTAAACTTTGCTGCGAATACCTGTAAATGCTGGGTAACCTCTCATTCACAGTTGGCATGAATTCTCGGCGGAGAATGCAAAAATACAATAAATTTTAAGTAATTCACGCTAATTATGAGTGAGGTTTATAGAATATTTTTAAATTTGATACAAATTATAATTATTGTTTCTGCAAATATTTTTTCTAAATTTTCCTATGTAAAAATAATTGGAAGTTAATTATTTTAAAATATTTTGTGTATAAGATTCTTCACACTATGGAAACTACCCCATCTCATTAATGTTCAACCATTGATTATTTTTTTGCCTTATTTAAAATTTGAATTTAAATATAAGTAAAATAGAAGTAAATATTGAACAACAAAATTGAATATAAATTGTCGTATTTAACCCTAAGTTTGCCAGATATTTTTTATCAACAGGGCCCTAGAATTAAATTGAACTGAAATAAAAAAAAAAATTTTATATTAATTTGTTATTTTTCATTATAACATTGCAATCATAGTTAGCACGAATTCGCGCTGAATTATAGAAAATATGCTATGTTTTTTGTATTCTGGGTCGCGAATTCATGCTAACCGTGATAGAGAGGTTTTCCTGCATTCATAGCACGAATTCGAGGCGAAGTATAGAAAATATGCTGTATTTTTGTATATTTATGTATTTCGCCATAAATTTGCGCTAACTATGAATGCAGGGCAACACAAACACATCATATCGCATATTTATAATATGGTGGGACAATAAAAATACTTTAAATGTGACATAATATGAATATTCATCATATATATTACAATTTTTATTTAGTATTTCTTTAAAATATTTTTATGCCTTTAATATTGTAATATAGCACTTCGAGCTTTTGTTTTTTATGATCGTAAATATCTTTTGAATACAATCTGGTTAATTTGTCTCATAATTCCATATCCAAATCTTTTAAAAATTGAAAATTTTTTAAACTAACACCATATAACTTTATAGCTAACTGCTATTTTTTGTGGCACTGGACTCAAGATTTTGGCACGCTTTGTGACTGATTAATTTTTTAATATAGTTTCCAATTTATTCTTCGTTGCTGATTTCTAAGCTATCGTTCGAGTATATTCAAATGTCTTCGATAGGATCCCAACATTAATATTATTATCTATCCAGGTGTTTGTAGATTTAGCGGTAAAATTCAATAACAGAAGTCTAGTTAGATAATATTAAGAACCATTTTTTGTAGACTATCCTTGTTTGGGAGTTTTCTTTAAGTGTCTTCCGTTTTGAGTAAGCTCAAAAAATATATTTACTTAAAATAAAATCTCTAGTTTATATGTGAAATTCAATATTAAATTAAATCATATATATGATAGCTTATTTTTCATCATTTATAAAATATCTGTTATTTTCATGCTAAATCTTGAAATGATATTTTAAAATTGTTAAGATTATATTGTCAAGTTCATGTAGCGAAGAAAACAATAAGAATAAGTAAATATGCCAAATTTAATATAACTACTGAATTGATGGTAAGGCAGAATTTAGACATGAATTGAGAAGAGTTCCCAAAATCTATTTCCAAGATGAGAAACTGTTAAATAGATTCTTTAAATATGTTGAGATTTATATTTCGACTGTAAATATGCATAATATTTAAATAAGGATTGATATATTCGTAATTTTACAAAATAAAATTCGCCATTACTTATATAAAATGTGATTGTGTGCTCCACTTAATTTCTCTTTTCAAAATAATTTTAATCATTGAAAATTTGGCAAACTCATTTTTAGAATAAAGTATGTCAACACCCATTTGAATAAAACTTAAAAGAGCTATAAATTATTTAAATTACAATATAATTTTAAAATAATAAACAGACAATAGGTAATTTTTTGAAAGTATTATAAATAAATTAACATGAGCGAACAATTTAGTGATCTTATAATGGGTGATATCTATGCATAAGGTAAAAATTATTAAAACACTAAAATCTATAAAAATTAAATTTTAAATATATTTTTCATAAATTAAATTTAAAATTAAGATTTTAATTTTTTTAGAGGCTAAAAATTTATTTTTGTTTTTGAAAATGAATGAAAGATAAAAATCTAGAGTGGTCGGATGTCAATGTAAGATGGGGCAATATACGACAAAATTTTAATATCCTAGTATACCTCCATTTTAAAAAATGTTATGGCACATCCTACTGATTAGCCCCGGTCTCCCCTACTATAATATTTTTTTTTGTTAAAATTATACTTTCCAATCATGTGGGTCGAATAATTTAATTCCTTTAGCTTCTCTGGCATCATTGTGTAATTCAAACTTACGGCATTGGATTCAAGTGGTCTTAGACCATTTTGCTAAACGATTTTAGATAAATAAATAAAAATACGTAATAATACTGATCTAAAAATATTAAGTAAAAAAAAACTACATCATTTTAATGTAAATAATAATTAACATTTCTATATATTGATATAAATAATTTGATCCTTCCTCATTTGGTTACTATTAAAAGTTAAAACTTTCAACAAATTATAAAATATATAAAATTCCAATATCAAAACTTTAATAAAATGGATGCCCACCCCTATTATTAAAGATCTGACAATCATATTCAATTCTATATTTTTATTGGCTGGCTTATCAACCGGATTTTAAATGGTAGTGATTTGATTTGTGATCAAGAATTTTGTAATAATTTTTTTTTTGAAAATATACTTCATAAATATTTTAAAAAATTTTAATTAAATAAATATTGCTATCATTTTAATCTTAGTTATAAGATGGGTAATCAGGAAAAATATGAACAATAAAATTAATTTGAATTTGATTTTAAGTTTCAATTGTATTCTAATATGTTAACAAAAATATTATGATTTATTCATGGAAACCAAAAACAAAGATTTTATTATATTAATTGAAATATTTAAATAATCTCTATCAATTATAAATTTAATCATTAACAGGTATATTATATCTAAATCTATCTTTAATGAAATGTGTGGCATGAGAAAATTGTGAAATTATATTATATAAAAAATTGTTAAACACTTATATTAACCGCAATAATCTCTATTCTATTAATAATAGGTTAAGGCTGAATATATCGATAATTTTTACCAACTCCAAAAAAATTATCGATCTGCAGGGAATATGGTTGAAGAAATCGGATGTTTTGATAATTCTCGTTTATATTCCTCATTATTAACTATGAATTTTATGATAAGATTGTGGATAAGAATAACTAATCCTGGTAAGTTCTAAATTTTATGGCCATGAAAACCCCATTACTAGGATATTTTTTTCTCTTGAAATAAGGTAAAACTTAATTGAAGGTCTCTTTCTAAAAAGTGTTTATCCATAGCGCGAAATAATATGGACCCCTTGCTTCATCTAGGAATAATACATATCGAATGAAATATTTTTCATTTTTTTGCAATATTCCTTGCGATTTGAATAAAATTAAGAGAGCTTAAAAGGTTTTGCCCAACCTTTTCCGGCTTCGCCCCATTGATTTGATTCACTTAGATATTGCGGAATCACTTATTTTAGGGGAGTTTCGACAATTTTTTCATTGTGTAGACATTATTACTTTTCCAATAAGTCAATCTTATAGGATTTAAGTTATGTGAGGTCCTTTTTCATTCAGTTTCTTCGCTCGATTATATAATAAGTTATAACTGGTTATAATATTTAGGAAAAATCTCCCGCTTGAATTGATTTTCTTAATAGAATAGATAAATTTAACTTAAATCAATTGCATTTGAGTGGGACACCAAGCTTACTGAGCCATTTTTTTATGGAAATCAATAGTTTCTTCGCCATAGCTGCTCTTTAAGATGGCTGCGAATGTAGTTTTCAAGTTATTTTGTTTTTTTTTCAATTCGTTTTTAAATATCAATAACTTATGCCTTTGTATAATTTTTAAATTTATATACTTAATGAAAATAAAAAAAAAATTTAAAAATTATGATGTTAAATTGTATCATTATATCTCAATCATGCTTTCATTTGCCCATTTCACGTTCAATTTCAATATTTAAATTATTAAAATGTTAGCAAATGATAATTTTTATTGCATGGTATTAATAAAGTAATAATTTATTTATGGTATACATACTAAAAACTTGGTAACTTAATATATCGTTTAAAAATTAGTCAAATACTCATGTAAAACTTCAAGCAAATTAATATATAAATATCTTCCCCTTTTTTTCATTTCAGTTCAGAAATCAAATTAATTTGAATTTGATTCTAAATTTAGGCATATTATATAAATCCTGATATAGTTTTGATGACCAAATGCATCTATATATAAATAGTATAATCAATACTAGTATTAGAAGATATAAATATATAGACATTAACTTGATCAATAATCAATGGGTAAGAAGCCTCCTCCTTAAACTTATACCCTTACATTGAGGGCGGTCAAATAATGTTTGTACCACTAGAAAAAAAATGCTTATTTTTAAATATTTTATTTTTAGCCGTATGAAAAGTCAAAAAACATTTTAAAATTCTATAATCTCTGCCAAATGGAAAAGTAGCCACTATCAAATAACTTCATATAAAAAATTTTAAATAAAGATTTCCGAGGGGATAAAAACCATAAATGATTATTTTGGTGATGGCCATATTTATAAGCTTTATTTGTATTTGTAAATATCAGCAAAAATATATATTATGATTATGACCCATTATTACTTGTAATCCCAATTTATAAGGAAAGTATCCCGTCATAAACGAAACTCTGGATCTTATAAATATATTAAGTAAATTTATTTTTATGCATGATATAAAACTAGTGTTGTAAACGTTACTTCAAAAATGAAACGCGTTAGACTAAATCTTAATTCCACTTTTGATATGCCAGTTCTTTTCCCTCCTCTAACAATGTTCTTATAAACGTTTAAAATGATCAAACTCGTCTTGACATGCCTCATTGCATCTTGGCAAAAAACTGATACTTCTTATATAATCCCCCATCCCCCTAATAATTTTTTATTAGTGGAGTTTGATTGGCATGAGAAGAATCAAGCGAAACTCCTTTTGTTTTCACAACACGAAAGGGCAATGCTATATCAGAATGATGTAGAGATAAAGAAACATTATTGATAAATTTTAAAAAATTCTTTATTATAAGACATAAAGATTAATGTACGGATATATAGAACTTCACTTTTGTCATCCTTATGATTCACTTTACATTTAAATTCGCAATAACAAAAAAAATCAATACTAACGGGGTACATGTAGGCTGGACATATGACTGATTTAGTATTATACCATTCTCCGCTAACGTGTCTAGATTAGGAGTATGCATATCTGGATTGTTCCATCCTACATCATTCCATCCTATTATTTTTTTTAAAAAATCATTTATTTTATTTATTGAAATTGTAATCTTAAAAAAAATTAAATTTAAAAGATATATATAATAATTATTAACAATATTAAATTGTGTTCCTACAAAGGAAAGGAGCAGGAATTATATATAGAAATCCATTTGAATTTTTTGCCCTCATTTAAAAGTTTAATACTGTGCCCTTAAGGTTCATAAAATGATATGTTATAATGGGTCCCAATAAAAATGTTTAAATTTTTGTATTTTTTGATTTGTTAGAGATTTAAATTGATATTAGCGGGGAGTGAAGACAACATGTATAATCTCAGATTGAAGATTTTCTAGAATCCTAAGGAGCCCATCGGGCCTTTTATCATTATTTGGAGAAAAATTAAAAGTCTTTAAGTGATTTGGCATGTGAGTTCTCTGTTTAAGCTTTTTTGATAAAACGATTTAGAGAGGATTTTGCGTCTTCCAAAATTAAGACCACATATGCCAGATCACGTATGCCAGACCACGTATGCCAGACCACGTATGCCAGACCACGTATGCCCTTAAAATTAATTTGTAGATTTCTTTGACGCAGACATGAGGTTGAATAATGTCTCGCATCAAAGCCGCAGGCCTATGTTTGCATTCCGTTGTTTATTTTATCATAAAGAGGGTATCAAGACTATGACTCGGGTTTATGACAATTAAATATTTAGCTTATTAAAACCATATTTATCGACATATATAATTAAATTATGTAACAAAAACAAGTTTTCCTCTAGAATTTCTAAGATTGAAAAATATTTAAATGATTTTGAAAACAGTTTAAAACTTATTCTGTAAAATGTACATTTAAATTGACACATGAAAAGCAGGGATCCCACTTGAACCGAACCGTTATACAGGAATGAGCCTTTATAATTTTCTGAATAACCGAACCTCAACTTTTATATGAAATCACTAAAAAGGAGCAAATCAAATCTATATTATTTTTATGACCGGTTTAAACCCGTTTATTTTTTGGTCTAATATCTGGCATATTTATTTTTATTTATAACCTTCGATAAGTTAGATTTTTTTTATAAAAATATTTGAAAATATTTTTGTTGTTTGATTATATTTTAAATTTAGATAATTTTTAAAAGTAAAACTTTCACGATGTATAATAATATTTGTTTAATATATAATTTAATGTTTTATTTAAAATATACATTGGTTGTTGACTAAAATATATATATACATTCCTTTACAAAATATAAAATTTCACGTAATTAATTTTATGTGAAGGATTAAAATTATCTTTATTGATAATATAGTTATAAATTATTGCAAATATTTCTGGGTCCGAGTTTGGAGTTTAATTTAACAATAAAATGGTAGATTCCCTAATTGATTCTAATTATTTGGTTAAAATAACTTCTAAAGATACTTCCTTAATGGTTTTACTGAGAGTAGAAAAATGTTTATTTCGGCTAAATTCAACGATGCTAGAAGTCCACTCAACCAAACCTTCAGTTGAAAAGGCGCTCTCAGTGAATATCCCAAAAATTTTAATCATAAATCCAAATTTAATTTTAAATTGTAAAATTGAATAGAATATTATATATCATACCTAAATCATCTGCGACTATAAAGAGTATATTTTTCCTTTTTTCAGTTTGAGAATCAGTGGATATACTTGAACGTGAAAAGATTGATAGGTATATAATATTAAATGTTAATAGCCAGTGCATTTTTCTTTATAAAAGTTGTACAATTTATATATGGCTAATCTTTTAGTAAGGATTGGTTAATATTTATTAAAATAAATTAAAAAAAATTTTAATATAACTATTATATAAGTAGAATAAAAAAAATTTAATAAAATTATTAGAATTACCTATAAAAATATTAAGATAATTATTTTTAAAAAAAAAATAATTCTGGGAAATAAATTTATAAATATAATTGTTATAGTAAATATGTTGGCATAAGCATTTTTTAAGGAGATTAAAAGAAGGCATTTTCCCCTCCACCATCGCCAGGAAGATATTTTTAATTTTTTGTAAGCAAAAATATTGTGGTAGAGGGTGGGCTGATTTTTATGTTAAAGAATCTTTAAGACTAGTTATTCTTCCTATATTATAAAATTTCCCCAATGTCAAACTTGGTCCGCGGTAAAAAAAAATTATTATAAATTATTTTTAATTTAGCCAAGTTTTTTACTTAAATTAGTCCCGATTTTTAAATAGGAATTTCTGTCAATATTTTTCTTAATTAGCAATAATTTTTTTCACCTTTAAACCATCCATCAAACAGAATAAATCAGTAAAATTAACACTAATACCACACTTTATGGTTTGATATAGGTTTCAGAATTAAGATTTCTAGAAAATTGGCTCACTTCACTCTTGAAACTTAACGTCATTATTTTATTTATAATTCGGTTCATATATTTAGGAATTAATAAATATCTACTATTCATAAAATATTAGCGCAAAAAAACTAGATATTTAGCTCTTTTTTATTTCCCATTTTAGTATAATACCAATTGCAATTGTTTCTTATCTTGCTTTATAACGTTTTTATGCACTCTACCCAAACGAATTAAAATAATTTACAATTAATTACTAAAAATTGATAAAATTTTCAGGAAAAAGCTTTTAGTCACTTTTTAAAAGTAGGGTTAACCAGAACTTTGATAACGATCAATTCCTAGAAAATATACTTAATAACGAACCAAATTTTTTTCTTAATAACAACCAAATGAAAATGCAATAAGACACATTTTTTTTTAATATTAAAAGGCAGAATCACGTGATCGCTTCCGATATTCTACACAACATACCCCTTAGCACAGAACTACTTAGGTGGCTTTAGGAAAAAAATTTGTCCTTGCTGAATTCTAACCCAGATATATACGATTGGTGATAACATCCTTACTTGCCCACAAAGGCTATTCAAAAATATCAATTTTCGTATAGGAACAAACTACTGGACAAAAGTTATATAAAAAAATGCGGGAGTTATCATTATTCAAAAATTTTGTTCATTATTTATTTTTTTACTTTTATATTGTGGATTAAAGCACTCATAAGAAATAATCGAACACAAAACTTTTTCATAAAATTTAGAATTAGTGCATCCAATTGTTCAGTCAGTCTTAACGGATGTGATATATAGGTAATACACCTTATTCAAAATAATACTTTTTTATAGGAAGTGTCAGACCAAAGGCTGGGCAGAGCAAAACCCTTGTAACCCCCCCCCCCTTCTGGAAAATCCTGGTTAAGCTAAACCATCAACTTACTAAATTATTTTAAAAAAATAATGAAATATAAAATATCTTTATGTATTTATTAATTCTACCATTGTTTTAAAAAAAATTACAAAATGTATAAATTTATAAATTCAAAATTTACATTTTAAATTGTAAAATAAAATATATTATTTGAATCTTAACTAATTTATATACGACTATAAGGAGAATATTTTTCCTCTTTTTTTAGCATTTGGAGAAGCAACTATGATATTTTTTTTTTTTCTCTTTAGCTTTCACCTTTTCTGGTGGTAAGCTCCTTCAACATCTCTCTCCACTTTATGTTATTCGTACAATCTCTTTTATCTATTTTATACTTCTTTATATTGGCTCTAACTTTATGGCCCCATTGAAGTTTTGGCCTTCCTCTTTTACGTTTGCCCATCACTTCCAATCTTTCAACTTTATTTCCTATGTAGTTCATTAGGCCTTCTCATTGTGTGCCCATACCACCTAAGTCTGTTTACCATTAACTTAGTCTTAATGGGCACTACCTTTAAACTATTTAGTATTCTTGTACTGCGCACCTTATCCTTTCTTGTTACCCCAGCAATCATCCTCCAGCATTCTCATCTCCATAGTTTGTAGACTTCTCTCGTCTGATTCTTTGGTTGGCCATGTTTCCGAACTATATAGAATTAGTTGGTTGTACTATGGAACTGTAAATTTTTCCCTTTAATTTGTGTGGGATTCTTTTGTCAAATAGCACTCCAGATAAAGATCTCCACTTTAACCACCTTTGATTAATCTTATTCTTTATCTCTTTTTCTATTGTGCCGTTTGTTTGTATAGTGGAGCCCAAATATTTGCAGCTTTCAATTGCGGATATCTGCCAATCATTTACATCAATACTCTCCGTTTCATCTCCTCCTATCACCATATACTCCGTCTTTTCTCTATTTACTTTTAATCCGTGCGTTTCTAGGATATTTATCCAATTCACTAACCTTTCTTTCATTTCATCCTTGGATTCGGCAAGTATCACAATATCATCTGCAAATATCATATTCCACGGGACTGTTTGAGGTATAGACTGTGCTAATACATCTATTACTGTAATGAAGAGAAGTGGGCTGAGAGCCGACCCCTTGATGAACTCCTTCGGCTATTGTGAAGCCTGCTGAAGTACCTGTTGTGCTACGGACCATTGTTGTATGTCCCATATACATATCCTCTATTATTCTTATATATTTTTCGGGAACTTTTTTGTGGCGTAGCGCCCACCAGTTTTCTTGGGATTCTATCGAAGGCCTTTTCTAGATCGAGAAAGACCATGTGTAGCTTTTTGTTCTTTTCCCTGTATTTTTCACTCATATGCCTAATTGTGGATAGCATCGGTTGTTGATCTTCCAGGCATAAAGCCAAACTGTGTCTCTCCTATTTCGATTATATCTCTTAATCTTTTTTCTATTATTTTTTCGTATACTTTTAGACAGTGTGACATTAGTTTTATGCCCCTGTAATTTTTTGTGTGGATCCCCTTTATTTTTGAAGATAGGAACTAGATAGCTCTGCCTCCATTTTTGGGGGACCTCTTCATTTCCAAGTATTTTATTGAACAGATTTGTGAGGAGATGTATTCCATCATCTCCTAGTGCTTTAAGGCTTTCATTGGGGCTCTATTGGAATATCGTCTGGACCCCTAGCTTTGTTGTTTTTCATATGCTTGAGGCATGTGATTATTTCTTGTTCTATAGGTTGTACAAGGTTTTGACAAGGGGAGTGTTCGTTGAGATGCAATATGTGGGAATTAAAGTTGAGAAGCTCCAAATATTCTTTCCATCTATTCATTATTTCTTTTTCCTTTATTATCAATTTCCCATCTTTATTTTTGATTACTTTCGGAGCTCCGTTTATATCCCTAGAGTTCTTTTCTCGCTGTTTGGCTAATCGTATATTTTATTTTGCCCTTCTTCGTACATGTCATCGTATGGCCCTAGCCACCGCCTTTGTAGCTAATCTCTTGGATTTTTTGTATCTTGACTTGTCATCTGCATTTTTGGATTTGTACCATATAAAGGGCTTTTTTCTCCTGTATAGTGGTTTGTACCTCTTGATTCCACCACCATAGTTCTTTGTGTGATTTGTTGCCTCCTCTTGTCAAGCCTAACGTCGATTTTGCAGTGTCTATTAATCTGGAAGTGTCTATTAATCTGGATGAAAGGTCTGTCCATATTTTTTCACTGACTTGTGAGCAATTTATTGTTTCAATGTTTGCATTGATTGCAAAGGCATCTGTCATTGTTTTTAATTTGCCCCATTTGATGCATGGTTCCAGTTTTATCTTATTTTGAGTTGTAAATCCATGATTAGTAGCTTGTGTTGCGCGGCGATATCTTCTCCTGGGATGACTTTGCAGTCTATTACATCTTTTAATCTTCTGCGAGAGATTAGTATGTAATCTATCTGTGTTTTCCTAGTACCACTTTCATATGTTATTAAATGACTGTCTTTTTTCCTATAGTAGGTGTTGGTTAAGGCAAGGTCGAAGGCTTGCGCAAATTTCAGTAGGTGTTGGTTAAGGCAAGGTCGAAGGCTTGCGCAAATTTCAGTACGTGCTCTCCTTCATCATTTCTTTCTCCGTATCCAAAACCACCATGATGCCTTTTGTAGCTATCTCTTGCTTTTCCCACATGCGCATTTAAGTCACCACCAATTATGAATGACTAGGTCATCCTTAGGGATTTCCATTACAGCTTCATCAAGGATAGCTCTAAAGTCATCTTTCTCTTCTTCCTTGCAACCCGTTTGAGGAGCATATACTGATAGGATGTGTAGTATTGATTGACCAATGCAGAGTTTTATCTTCATTAGTCTATCAGAGATCCTGTTGACTTCTACTACTGAAGAGGTTAGGTCTTGGCTGAGGATGATGCCGACACCGTTCCTATTGCTAACAAGTCCATTATAGTACAATTTATACCCATCTCCAATCATCAAAGTTTTCTGTCCTTTCCATTTCGTCTCTTGTATACACGCTATATCAACTTTTCTCCTGTTCAACATTGATGCCAATTCTCTCGTCTTACCTTTAAGCGTCCCAATATTCAAACTTGCCAGTCTTGTCTTCTTTGCTTTGACCTTTACTTTATTTTTCACAGGATGGAGGTCTACACCCTGCGCGTCGCATGGAGGGAACGCCCTAGCTTTCATATTCATATTTTCATTTGTGTCCTTCATTTTGTTGTTTATTGGACAGGTATCCTTAGCACCCGGCTGTCCAGGCCTGTCGGTGACCGCGGTGTCATCTCTAAGCTCCGAAATTCATCATACCATATGTCTTTACACATCAGTCATCGAAGAAAAACTTGAAAGTTTTTATGGTTCTTACCAGGATTGAACCCGCGTCCTTGTTCATGCTCGTGTTTCCAAGCCTACATCTTACCCATTAGGCCACCCCGGCGATAGAAGCAACTATGATATACTTGAGCTTAA